CTTCAGATAATCAATTCTCAGTTCATCCAGAAGAGAAGAGTCCCTCTTGTACCATAGGCTTCCCCAGGAAACACAGTTGAAACCTCTTGTGTTTCCATGTCACACATGGCACCGCCCAGAGAACATTTGCCATCCTGACATCTTCCTTCCATGTACAGTGCTCTCACCACTGCACATGGACCAGAGCTGCTTCTAGGGCTCCCCTTTTAAGGATGCTTTGCCCAGTTCCAAAAAAATCACAGTCTCTCACTTTCAGGACACCTGCCTCCCCCAAATTCACCCCCTGGGGCCAAGGGGTCTTGAGAACAGAGATCTTCTCCTTCACTGAAGATCAAGGGCACCAACCACCCTCCTCACCCATCGTCTCTATTCATGCACTCCTTCACATAACAACACTGAACTCTCTTGGCTCCAAGCCATTGCCTCCCCAAAATGCAGTCTCTGTGTCACAGGAAAAAAGGTTCTGTCCATGGTTATACAAGAAAAGTCCAGCCAAAGGCCACTCCATCATCTCCTGCCACCTAGAATTCTTCTCAACTTCTCTCGGACATCTTTCACTTGCACAAACTTGCATCACACTTGCCCATTTCCTGCTATTCATCCTTATCTCTTCTCTCATTCAGCTCCAGGAGGATCAGCATTTGTAAGGTTTCCATCATCCAAGAAAAGGGTTAAAATATCAGGCTCTGCCTGTCCAGAATTCCCACGCTGCCGTGCCGGGCACCTTCTCACCGCACCCCCCTTCTTCTTCTCAGCCGGCTGTGCTGCCCACACATGATATCTAATTTCAAGGTGGCACAAGCACCGGCACAGGCTCTTTCTCTCTCTCTCTCTGGGGGCGGGGGCAGGCTGCCCGATGCCTCTCCAATGTTCCTCCACCCTTCCATCCCGCAAGGGCCTTCACCTCCCCTCTCTGTCCAAGACCCGGCCTACCTCACCTGGCCGCATGGCTTCCCCTCCCCCGCCCAGCCCGCAGCCAGGCAGGGGAGGCCTGACCTCTTTCAACGGCAGAACCCAAGAGAGTTTCCTCCTGGGAGTTCTCTGCTTTTAACACCCCTGTGTTCTAAGAGGCGTATCCATGTCCTCACTGGCCACACCATGTGCCAATATTCAAATCTGAGCACCTGTTGGTTTGACCACAGCAACCCCAAAAACTCACTTCCTCTCAAACCAGGACAATGACCCAAAGGTTTGGTATTTCTGTTAGCATTCAAAAACACATAATCACATAAGCGATTACATGCAGGTGCTTTTATTAAGAGCTCCGGGTGTCAGGAGTATTCAACTCAAATCTGATTCTGACCATACATTCGAGGTGAATGTGTTTTATACTCTTATCGTTATATAACTTTCATGTTAATTATTAAACTTATATTGTTCTATTGTTTATATAGACTTCAGATAAACATAGCCCCCTTAAATTTCCAATATAGTTTCTCATGATTCTTCTTATGATTATATAATAATTATATTTAATTACTAAACAATCATCACATCTAACAATTCTATCATTTATCATACTGCTTACACAGATGCAGTGATCTGAGAAAACACAAAGCCTAACATTTTCAGAGTTATATCTTTAACATTTTCCAAGGCTCCACTATCATTCTCCCCCCTTTGAAAGCATTTTCACTTCACTATAGGTGTAAATGTTTTCACTTGATACAGTCCTTTATTCCTCAATTTATACTTGACGTTCTTCAAATCCAGGGTTGATGTGGATGCTATCACGAACTGGAGAACCAGAAGATGGTGGGCGTGGATCTCGTGTCAGTGCCTTTATTATTTTCTGGTTCCAGGACATTTTCTTCTCTATCTCTCCCTTTAAGATGCTGTAAACGAACCAAATTGCTAAGAATACAATTAGTAAGATTATCATACTCTCAATTATAGATTTAATCCATGAACTCACATTCCACCCTAACCCTTTAAAGATTTTTCCTAACCAGCTTGTAGTCAAATCCTTTTGCTCTTCTTGTGCTTCATGCTCTATTTGTTTCAACTGATTGATGTCATATTCTACATCTGCAGTTACATTTGGGATATGAACGCAGCAATGATCAACTTGTCCCTTTAAAAATCCACATACTCCATGCTCTTTCAGGAGTAACAAATCTAAGGCTAATCGATTTTGTAAAGTCATTTTTGTGGTGGCTTGTAATTGTGCGTTTAATTCTTTAAATCCTTCCCAGGTGACTCTTGCCAGTCTATCTACCTGACCTGTAAGTTTGTACAGCATCTCCCTACTCTGATAGTTTGCTATAGGACCAAGTAATGACTCTAGGGCTCACCCAAATTTCACTCCACTAGAGGGTTCTTGCCAAGTGTCATCTGGGTTTTCATTGTCTAGAACTTCCCGTCTTGCTCTTATCTGCAGAAGTTCATGTTTTCCATTAAATGGGGATTTTTTCCAAACTGGACATAAGGTTGGAAGGCCTAAAGTAATTTCCTTTACTTTCCCGTCTACAGGCAGATGTGTTGTCCAGGTGCCATCACTTCTTGCCCATACAAATTGTCCTGTACTTCGGACTGTACTCCTGGTACATCCTACAACTACTTTATAATTCACTCTGCCTTGTTTATGTTTGATCCCTCTGCAAGCACAACCAATTTGTAGGGCTATTACCAGGGGTGGCATCTGTTTTATCTCTACATCATCCAAAGTGCAGTCATAAGTTTTATTACATGCCCACCAACTTACTTTGTCTGCCCTCGTTCTGCTACTGGTGGCAGTGTACGTTACTGCTGGATCGGTTTCATTCTCGGGGCCTTCCCACTTAATACACCAAGGGGTGTTTTCCATATATTGGAATCTTTGAAGAATACTCACAGACCACGCACTGTCCCAAGGCTGTATGTGATTTTTCCGATCCTTGGCCTCACACTTCCATACCAGAGTGGTTTCTGTAACATTTTCTATAATCTTTTTATAGTGTGGTAAATAGCATTGCCATTGTGTGATGCCTCCTGATTCTCCCATAGGGGTTCCTAGTATGCCATCACTTAGAATACAGTCTTTCTGGCCCATGGGTCTCATCCATGTTCCTATTTTCTCCCAAGTTTCCTTGATTACTTGCCTCGATTCAGGTACCTGTTTGCATGTAATTGTTCTTGTTCTTTTGTATTTCAGGTAGTTTTGATGTTATGATTCCCCAGTTTACTGGGTCTCCTGATGCCTTTGGTATTGGCAGACAGGCAGTTATTCTACTGGTGTTTTGCATTTTGGCAAAATCTTTGACTAATCCAATCATTACATTCTCAGCCCGAACTGCATTAGAAACCTTTATCACCTGTGTTTCTGCTTGTACCTCTCTCTTCATTCTAGAATGAAGAGTAGTTAGTTGATCATTTTGCATTCCACATCCCAAAGACATTAATGACCATAACGTTAGCACAATTACTGATAGCATTCTCAAAGTGATTAAACACATCTTATCTGCAGCCTTGTTGGTTCCACAGTTTACACAGTCCATGATTCAGGATGGATTTTCTTCACTCGGGTGTAATGAATCCAGGGGTCCACGCCGGCTACTTTGACTGCTGTAAAGGTGGTCAGTAGTACCCGATGGGGTCCACTCCACTTTTCTTTCAGCGGTTCTTCGTTCCAGTTCTTGATGTACGCCTCGTCTCCTGGATATATGTTATGAACTGGGGTCTCGAGAGTTAGTGGTCTATTTCACACGAGGATGCTCTGGAGCTGAGCTAAAGTTTTCCCGAGAGACAGAACATAATTATACACTTCCTGCTTTCCTGTGACATGTACATTAAGGTTAGGCTCAGGAGATTCATATGGTTTCCCATACAATATCTCATAAGGACTGACTGACATCCCACTCCTAGGCTTTATCCGAATCCTCAACAGTGCTATTGGCAAAGCCTGGGGCCACTGCAATTTGGCTTCTTGGCATATTTTACTGATTTGCCTTTTTAGTGTCTGATTCATCCTCTCTACCTGTCCACTCGACTGGGGTCTCCACGGTGTGTGGAGGTCCCAAGTTATCCCCAGCAATCTACGTACATCTCTTACTACTGTAGCTATGAAATGGGCCCCCCTATCTGATGATACCCCTAGGGGTACTTCGAACCTGGGAATAATCTCCTGTAGTAACCACTTAACTGTTTCCTTTGCTTGGTTTGTGCGACAGGGAAGGGAGTCTGTCCACCCAGAGAATGTGTCAACCCCCACTAACAGGTATTTCAATCCTCAAGTTCTTGGCAATTCTACAAAATCTACCTGCCAATAGTCTCCTGGCTCTATTCCTATCCGAATTCTTCCTAGCTGTGCCTGTCGCCTAGCCACTGGGTTGTTTTTCAAGCAGATATCACATTTTGACATTACTGATTTTGCCATTGTTAACATCCGTACCGAAATTAAACTCTGCTTTAGCAATTTTACCAATGCCTCTGCACCCCAATGACATTCGTTATGTTTAATTTGTTGAACTTCTCTCATTATCAAGGGGAGGGTACCACTATTTGTCCTTGTGCAGTCACATACCATCCCTCTGAATTCTTTTGTGCATTTAGCAAACGTGCCAGTCTCTCATCTTCTACTGAATATTTAGGTTTTGGAGGCAAATTGAATTGGCATACATTAAGCTTTAAAGGTATCAATGCCATTGTTGTTTGCACCCTTTGAGCAACCTGTCGGGCTGCCCAGTCTGCCTTCCGATTTCCCTCACAGATTTTGGAGTTTCCTGATTGGTGTGCTTTACAGTGTATAATTGCCACTTGTTCAGGTTTTTGTACTGCTTTTATCAATTGCAGGACTGCATCCTGATGTTTAATGTGCGTACCCCGAGAAGACAATAGTCCCCTTTCTTTCCACAGTGCTCCGTGTACATGCACCACTCCAAAAGCATATTTTGAGTCAGTCCATATATTTACCTTTTTCTCTTCACTTAATTCTAGTGCCCTGGTTAAAGCAACCAGTTCTGCCTTCTGGGCAGATGTATTTGGTGGTAATGCTTTTGCCTCCACTACTGTACTGACTGGTTTTACCGCATATCCCGGTATCTGGTTCCTTTTTCCACGAAGCTGCTCCCATCTGTAAATAGCTCCCACTCTGGCTGCTCTAGTGGGACGTCTTTCAGGTCTTCTCTTGCTGAATAGGTGTACTCTATTACCTCTACACAGTCATGCTCTAATGGGCCTTCTTCAGTTGTGGTACCTAGGAACAAAGCTGGATTCAAAAGCTTAGTTGTTTTTAATGTGACATCATCCTGTTCAGTCAGGACTACCTGGAATTTCATCATCCTGCTTGGGGATACCCAATGGCCCCCCTTCTGCTCTAAGACAGTGGTTACCATGTGTGGTACATAGACATCTATGTGCCTTCCCATGGTAAGCTTCCCGGCTTCTTCTATCAGCATCACAGTGGCTGCAACTGCCCGCAGACATGGAGGCCACCCAGCACTTATGTTGTCAAGTTGTTTGGAAAAGTAGCCCACCGGCCTTTTCCAGCTTCCCAGACGTTGGGTCAGGACTCCTAGTGCTAGGCGCAGCCTTTCATGTACAAATAGCTGAAAATCTTTAGACAGATCGGGTAACCCTAATGCTGGAGCAGTTGTTAGTGCTTCCTTTAATTTTAGGAAGGCTTCTTTCTGTGGCTTGCCCCAGGTGAATGGCTGCGTCTTCTGAGCTTCATACAGGGCTTTCGCAATCAGTCCATGATCCACAGGCGACACCATCCTGCCATCCCAAGGAAGACTCGCAGCTCATGTAAATTCTGGGGATCTGGAATAGCACAAATGGCTTGGATACAGTTAGTACCTAGTTTTCGTTGCCCTTGTGAAATTTCACATCCCAGGTAGATCACAGTCTGTTGGGCAATTTGTGCCTTTCCTCTGGATACTTTATAACCTCCCATTCCCAGTGAATTTAAAATCTCAATGGTTACCTTTATACAGGTTGCTTTTTCTTCTGTAGCTATTAGTATATCATCAACATACTGCAACAACAGGTATTGGTCTCTTGGTACTTGCCCATTCTCGGTCCCAATCTCCAGCTCCTTTGCCAGTTGCTTTCCAAATAGGATCGGCGAGTTCTTATATCGTGTCTAGGTGAGCTGGGTCTTTCTCCCATTCCCTGGGTTTTCTCACTCACAGGCAAAGAGTTTCCTACTTTCTTTGTCAAGGGTCATGCAGAAAAAGGCATCTTTTAAATCAATTACAGTGAACCACTTATATACTCCTTTACAGATGTTAGCAATGTGTAAGGATTTGTTACCACTGGATAAATGTCCTTTGTTATCTTATTTATTGCTCTCAAATCCTGCACTAATCTATATTCACCATTTGGCTTCTTTACTGGAAGTGTATTAAATTCTGATTCACATTCTTCTAAAATTCGGTATTTCAATAATTTCTCAATAATCTTTACTATTCCTTGCCGTGCTTCTGGGATTATGGGATACTGTTTGACTTGTACAGCCGTCGCCCCTTCCTTTAACTCTACATGCACTGGTTGTGCCAATTTAGATTTCCCTGGTATATCTGCCTCCCATACAGAGGGAATCACTGCATCTTCTACCTCCCTAGGGATAGAGGGAACAGGTTTTTCTTTGATCATTAATATCTGTCCCATCTTTGATTCAGGTATTTTCATTATAAGCTCTCAATTTTCAAAGGTTATTACCACATCAAGTTTCGCTAGCAAATCTCTCCCTAAAAGCGGAATTGGACACTCAGATACGTATAGGAATCTGTGTGTTATAACTTTGTTCCCAAAACACAAATCTAGGGGTTGCAAGAATGGCCGTTTTTCCTCTTTCCCTGTAGCCCCAACTATTGTTGTTTCCTTGTCCCCAATTTGTCCTTGCAAATCATTCAATACCGAATAAGTAGCTTCTGTATCTATTAGAAATCTGACCTCCTTATGCCCTAACTGTATATTTATAACAGGCTCTTGAACTTGTTTTACCGGTTCTATGTCTAGTCAGCTGGTATACTCCCCAGGACCATCTCCTTGGCAACCTGCCGGAACTGATTGTCCTGGTGAAACTGGTTGTTCAAGTCTGGACAATCTCACTTCCAGTGCCCCTCCCGCTTGCAATAGGCACATTGATTTAGGTTTAACCCCTGCGTAACTGGTCTCCTACCTCGACCATTCCTGTTACATCCCCTGAAATTTGGGTTCCCTTTTCCTTGTATTACTGCCAACAGATTCTGCTGCTGCCTTTTACTAGCTTCTCTTTCACGATTGTTATATACCTTCCAGGCTACCTCAATTAGCGTATCCAAATTCCTTAGTTCTTCCCCTTCTAATTTTTGCAATTTTCTACGAATGTCGTCCTGTGATTGGCCCAAAAATATGAGAGCAAACTGAACCTTTGCTTGTTCTGTGTCCATTTTGAGATCTGTATATTTTCTTGCTACCTCTTTAAGCCTCTCCAAAAATGCAGTGGGAGTTTCCTTCTTTTCCTGTCGAACCTCATATAGTTTGGACCAGTTTATAGTTTTGGGTACAGCATTCTGAACTCCTATTTGGATCCACTCTTGATATTTCCGTAGTCTCCTCATATCACCCAATAAATTAGGGTCCCAATTTGGATCCTCAATTGGGAAATTCACATCTAAATTCCCTGTTACTAGCCCATTTCTGATATCTTCTCTTGCCCTCTCTTTGGCTGCCTTAAGTACCATCCCTTTCTCAGTAGAATCCATCAAAGTATCTAATATTACTTGTATGTCATCCTAGTCAGGATTTTGAGTTTTTATAACCATTTTTACTACTCATGCCATTTTATCAGGATTTTCTCTATAAGTTCCAGCTGATTGTTTCCAAATAACTAAATCTGCAGGAGAGAAAGGCACTTTTATAAATACTGGCCCTTCCACTCCTACACCTTGCCGCAAGGGGGCGATTACAGTCCGTTTTTGTCTGCCTATGTCTTTTCTACCCATAACTGGGGCAAGGTTAGACCGACTCCTGGTTCTGTGGGCTACGGGGGTCGTTGATTCTCTCTCTCTCCTTCCTACCACAGTTAGGTTTTCCTCATCTTCCGAGGAAGAGGGATCAGGTGACGATGGGAGAGGAGGATAAAGAGGGAAAGGTATACTAGACGAGACAGGTTCAGGACTGGGTGGGTTAGGAGCAGGCAGTGGGATAGGGACAGATGGAACAGGTGAGATAGGGTTAGGTTCTCTTGTTCCTATTGGAGCTACCTGTAAATCAATATCTGTATCATTTTCCCTACTCAGGCTTTCTTTCAACGCCAAGTGTTCTAAACAATGTTCCTGACAAACCCCACACTTATTGCTTGCAGATGTTTTAACCATCATTAATCCACATTCATCCTGCCATTCTGGCTTTCCCCGTAAACAGAAAAACAAATCAACATATGGAACCTCATCCCATTGTCCTTGTTTACAAAACGACATTAACTGCGAAATAGTGTTACATTGCAGAGTACCGTATTTTGGCCATTTTTCGCCATTCTCCAAGGCATATCCGGGCCACCACGAATTACAATAATCAATCAACTTAGCTTTACGTAATTCTTCCCCAAAATTACCCTGTTTCCAATAAGCTAATAAGCACCCCAAAGGAGAACGTTGTGGAATAGAGGTGTTGCCACCCAAAATCCCTTTAAGTTTCTCCATTCCAAATATACCACAAATTGCCGAACCCGCAACGCTTTCGCGATTGCCTTATGGAACAGCGCCTAGGCTATACCACTAGGAGTTCCTTTAGCCCAACCGAGCGTAGCTTTTGCTGCGTCTTATTGGCAGGCACCCAAACCAAAGTAAAAAGCACCTTACCTTTCTCCCGGGGGCGTTGCAAGCGGCAGAAGCAGTCATGGCCAATCGAGCTCCCCGAGAATCCCTCGCTGCCGGCTGGAGCATGGTTGAGTCGCGAAACTCGCTTCAGCAGCACCCGCAGGGTCCCATCTGGGGTTGCCAAAATGTTAGCGTTCAAAAACACATAATCACATAAGCGATTATATGCGGTGCTTTTTATTTAAGAGCTCTGGGAATCAGGGTAGTTTTCCACCCAAATCTGATTCCGACCATACATTCGAGGTGAACGTGTTTTATACTCTATCGTTATATAACTTTCATGTTAATTATTATGAAATGACTGTGCTAATGTCCCACACAGTGTCCACAGTACTAGCAGTAAAGAGCAGCCACTGGCTCTCACCACAGAAGTTCCTGAAATACCAGACCATCATATCAGAGCAAGATGGTGTAGAGATAGTGGTGACTAGTATTATCAGCCCAGCTTCTTCTCTCAGTAGAAATCAAGGAGAAGCAGTACACCACGATTGCCTGGAGACCATTGAAGCTACCTACTCCAGCCGCCCCGACTTAAAGGACACTCCTTTAGACGATGCCGAGACCTGGTTCACTGACGGGAGTAGCTACCTTGCCAGTGGAAAGCAACATGCTAGGTACACAGTGATGACCTGCAGAGAGGTAATAGAGTCTAGACCCTTACCAACAGGTACCTCTGTGCAGAAGGCTAAGATAATTGCACTGACCCATGCCTTAGACATGGCAAAAGGAAAAGAGAATAAACATCTATACAGACTCGAAGTATGCATACAGAGTCGTGCATGAACATGGAGCCATCTGGAAGGAGAGGGGACTGCTGACCTCACAAGGAAAGAAGAGATAATCTGGCTGCTGGAATCAGTTCAGCTGCCTGAAAAGGCATATTAAGGCACACCAGAAAGTGAGCTCAGAATTAGAAGAAAGAAATGAGCTAGCAGATGGAGAGGCAAAGAAAGCAGCAAAAGGTGAGGTAATTATAGACAGATTTCCCTTGAAAGTAAGCCAGAATATAATAATACTAATCAAAAGGGACACAACCACAAGGGTTGGGCTACCATTGAAAGGGAGCTGGTAATCCCTACCCATTTGTGTGGTCACTAGTGAAAGAAGAGCACTAGAAAACACACTGGGGCCTAACTACTTAAAATCTTTTATAAAGTGTAGCTCCTTTCCCAGAATGATCAAAGCTGCCAGTGTTACAGAGTGCATCGAAATGAAGTGTTGACTTTTAAGTAGTAATTTCCACAAGCTTTCTAGAACACATATCTGATTGAAAGAATCGTTGCCAGGAATTTATATGCCACTATTACTCAGGTAAACCGACAGTGAGATCCTTGCCTCCAGACTAACCCCAAGAATACCCCCAGACCAAGACTAGGTCAGACTGAGAAAAGCCATAGATCCAGACATCACTGGCAAATTGACTTTTCAGAACTCCCGTGGAAAGGGGGATGTCAGTTTTTATGAGTATTGACAAATACATTTTCAAGGTGGCCAGAAATGTTCCCCACCAGAACTGTCAAGGCTTGAGAGGTGACCAGAGTAAACAATACTGCTTTCAGAGTTCCAGCCACAATACCTAAATAGTGGCTTCAAGTAGGCATCTCAGAGAAAATAGAAAACGTGTCTGGAACTCAGAGCAGAGAGCTAGATAGACCAGTACATAACATACAGCCTGGAGATTATGTATATGTTAAGCCTCTTGCAGAAAAGACTTTAGAACCACAGTGGGAGGGACCACTGCAGGTGCTTCTCACCACCTTCACCGCAGTCAAGATCAAGAAGCAGAATGCCTAGATCCATCACTCTTGAGTGAAGAAGGCCCCAGAAGCCCCTTAGAGAGTGACACCAAGAGACAATGAACTGAGACTAAAACTTACTCAAGCAAAATTAGTATATTGCAGCCAAAAGTAGTTTGTAATTTCATTTACAGAATTGTTTTGTGTATAATTATAACTGGAGTCTTGGAATTAGAGAGTACCTCTATTCAAAGCGATGCTGAATAGCCTTGGTCCCAAGCTTTTAATCAGTATACTAGATCCATAAGAGAACTTTCTGAGATAAAAGATTTAAACCTATCCACTGTAGTGAT